AATAGAAGACTGAGCCAGTGGAATGAGCCATGTTTACAAGTTTGAGACCCAGCCCATCTAGACTCCCAAAAAAATTACCGGCCACCGCAGTACTTCAGCTTTTCCACAGATTAAGACAAAGATAAAACAGCCGAACAGACAAAATCAGGAGTTGGAGCCTGTCGTCAGCTCCATAAATTCTGGGCATGGGCAAACCCACCAAGCTGCTGTCGACTGGTGGGAAGACGATGCTGCTTCTCCATCCAGCAGCCAGTGCCTGCACAGAGATGCCAAGAGCAGGAGGTGCTTTTCAGGAGATGCTCCTCTTGCCCCAGCAAGGGTCACGCAGCAGTGCGGGCAGCGGGGCTCTCCCCTGCCGCTGGAAAATCAGCACTTCTGTTTGAGGTATGTCAGGGAATTTATATACGGTCCATTATTTGAACTAAATAATTATTTTATCCTCGCTCTTTCCCCAGGTGTTACGTTAGTCAGCTCCCCGCTGCCTGTGTGTGCCTTTTAGTGCTGTAAAGGAGGAAAGGAAAAGTCCCTTTTAGCAGTAGGAAAATGTGACTATAAAACAGCTCAAACTGCCAGGGGACTTCAGGAGGTAACGTGAAAAAAAAAGAAGCAACTGAACAGATTTCAAGTTGCCTTTGTTTCCTTCAAGTGTAAGTTTAGTTTACATTAAATGATTTCAGGGAGGTAATTTTTTAAAATAAAGTATCATTAAGATTACTGCTTGAGCATCCGTAGTGGGTGACAAGTACAGGACCATAAACATAAACCAAAATCTCACTAACATTTGCACCCAGTGTTACATTACCGTAGCCTCTGGAAGTTAGTTGGTTGATAACATTGATGTTTTGGGTACCTTCAAAGCATTCAAAGACCTCAGAAAGGGTTTTTTGGTTTTTTTGGGTTTTTTTAATAGTAACTAGCACTAGTAATTATTTGTAAATAGACTTCCGCTTTAATTTGTGAGTATATGCACATACTGGAATAGAAGCTGGACAAGTATAAGACAGTTTACACTTAAACAGCAGTTTCATAGTATCCATTTCATTCATGGTCAAACTAAATGAAACTTAACTCTTAGCTCTGACACCTAAAAAAGCTTCCTGGAGAAAAGGCATTCACACTAGTGTATAGTGGGAAAGAAATACCCAATGAATGACCTTTTCCAAAACTTCTTGTTCGTTACCAGTTATCAGCAAGTCCTGCAAAAATGCCATCTTCTGCAGTAAACTTAAAACTGAAACAAAAGCAACATGAATTGAAACTTCTTCCACGTCTAAATTCAGATACTCAAGACACACAAAAGCAACACACGAGGGATGGTTGCAAAATCATGATTACAGAAGTGAAAATACACTTTTGCATATCAGTTTCATTATAAGTATTCCTCCACGTCTGACTAGCCTACAATTAACGCTGTCTAGCAGAAAGTGGTTACTGCATCTTCACCATTGGCATTCTTCATCTACTTACCGTCTGTCACAGAATAACTCTCAGATCCAGAATGAGGGATTTGGAAATCACAATCGGCAAGCTAGCACCCACCTAAGAAAAACCATGTTTTTCAACACAGGTATTTCTCACAATTCAGTTTAGCAGAAAATGATATCAGTTAGCATCTCTGGAAATCAGAACAGTTAAATACAGGCACCTAATTATGCCTTGAGATCCTATCTTTAGTGACCCAAATTAGTAAACTATTTCCTCAAATGAATATATTTCTGTTCAAGTAAGCATCAAGCATAAAAACACAACAATAGAGCCATAGTCCGCTGACATTGGCCAATATTAATAGCACATGATACAGGAAATCAGAAACAGGTCTCCAAAAATGAAAGACATTTTAGTTGATTTCTCAAATTTAAGATGCTTCTTATTTGCTTTCTAGTTTCAGAGCCTTTCAAGACTTCGCAGGGTTTCTACAACAGTATGAGGACAAGAAATTTCCTGTGTTTTTAAAAAGAAGCTGGGATTCTCTTGCTAGTACTCAATTCCAGAAGGTGGTAATTTAAGAAAACACCAAGTAATGTAAGATTCATAACAACATAATCACAAGACTTTTAAATACTATGTCCCTTTGAAATCAGATTTATTTATGAACTACACCTATGGGTGCATCACAGCTCTGTCCATCAGTTACTTCACGTGCAACAGCTCCAGGCACCTAAAAACCTGCTTATCACAGGGATGGATGAGAAATGGGACAACATCTGGGTATCACAGTCATCCTGGTGTAACTTCAGCAGCCAAGCATCATGGCTGGCCTCCTACAGCACCGACCTAGCGCACATTTTCAAAGTTTCTAGGATTACGCTTGCTGCCACAACACGCCAGGGCTCATCTGGAGCTTATGGAGAGCACTCCATGCCTAGTGCTTCAAGTACTTTTAAGCAGGGAGAAGAAGGATCTTTTTGTGTATCTGCGTCATCCCACTTTCAGCCACCCAAAGCTGTAAGCTGGCACGTCACAGACTACCGCTAACTGAGCCCGAGGGGCACCTAAACAAGATAAATACCCTTGGATTAGGATACACTAACGTGAGTCCTACGCAGGCATTAGCGATGGTAAAGGGATTCCACACAGACGCAATCGACCATTCAGACTGCCAACTCACTGCACAGAGAGGGACTGGAGATAAGACTTGCTCCCTGGCCTACTTCAGGCATTCAGGACGCACAATAGTGTTTCCTCCCTCCATTTTTTTTCCTCTACTATGGCAGCCTTTGTACGATGGGCAAAAGCTCTTACCTCAAAAGCTCAATTCTTACACCACCCCTTATGTCTCACACACGTTCACATAAATAAGGAAAACTAACATTGACAAAAATGCTGTTATATACCAAAAAAGGGGGAAATAAATAAGAGAAGTAACTGAGAGTCTGGAAAAAAACCCCCAATCAATCAGTCTTGCAGGCTAGTGCTTAAAAAACTCAGAGAAAGGAAAAGAGGGAAACACAGTGAGAAACCATCATCTCTACCAGCAATGTTCCTTTTCCTGATTTTCTCATCCGATTTTAGAGGACTTACTCTTGGGACGGGGAACTGGGTACTCATGAATATTCACTGCTGTACTAAAGTCTATGTCCTCAGCCTCGAGTAAAGTTTCTCTACTTCAGTTTCTCTACAAAGTAGAATAGTATAATTTACCCATACGCTTCACAGAGATGTCGCAGTTTGCAGTTATATTACAATAGGAAGTGCCGTACAAATGCCGGATGCATTTTAATAACGAGGAATAACGGGATTCTTTAGCACAACCCGTCAGCACACCTAAAATTTTAATCCTCCTGCACTAAGTTTTCTCACATTATTATCTCGGCTTGCTGGTTTATATTCAAGATTGTTCACATTTCCTAAAAACGAAAATAAACACTGAAGGATGTCACAGATTTCTATATAAGGGGGGCAGATCTCCAAAAAAAGGGGGAAAAGTTTACCTTACGAATTGAGTATGACCCGCAAAACCAAACACCAGCTATTCCTTTCCAGCATAGTACTACCAGGCTCTTCCTAAACACTGCAGAATGAAACAGTAAGTTGCAATAAAGTGGTTTAGACATGTACATCCATATTTGACAGATCAAGCAGACTGAGGCACTACATTACTGTGACATGAAAATTCCTTTTTTGATGTAAAGCTTTGCATCATTCTTGCTGAACACCAACTATAACAACTATGATTACTGTATGCCCCTTGTCTGAGTGATCTTCTATTGGAAACTAGAAGATGAAAAACTTCTTCTGAATCATGTTTTCCTTTTCATTTGAATAAACACGTGAAGAATGTTTGTCCTGTAATCTATGGCAAGATACCTGAACATATTTGGCAAAACTTGCGACACATCGATTCGCAACTAGTTTTATCTTATTCTAAAACCAGCTTGCCCTCATTGTTCATAAAACACACTGCATACCCTATCTGGTATAGAGAGGTATTAAGTATTTCAACAAAGTCTAGGATCCCATGAAAAGCGTAGCTACACAGACATCACAAGTCAGGGAACCAACAGGTGTTCAAAGTTGTTAGCAAGGAAAGATCCAGTCCTATGTATCTGTCCGATCTCGCTCCCTTTGAACACAATGTCATGAGATTCAAACCGTGCTAAAACAGACTCTGAAACTCTTGACTTCGTAGCTTGCCAGTACGTACACAATATGCCCTGAATAACGAGGTCTTTCGCCTGGCAATTAAAACTGAAAACCCGATTCTGGGAACAGGGCAACGCCAGGCAGGTAACTCTTAAAATGGGGATTTAATTGCTGCTAAGAGTCTCTAAAGACAAGAAAAGCACAAGGGGTATTGTATCCTGGGACTAAACTGCTCCAGAGTGCAAAACGCCCTGTACCCTACGAACAGGCGAGCTGAACATGGACTTAAAAACAGTTAGTAAGAAACAGTAAACATTTGTTACGGGCAGTCACAGCAACACAGCCGAATTCTAAAATGGCATAAGCCAAGTCAAAACCCGTTATGATTTTCCGACTTGAAAAAGATCCTAATTGCTACTAAAACGGTTAAAAGGTGCTAAAATATAAATCATCAACTGCTTTCAGAGACATGGGAGGCAAAACCAGCCTATTTAATGAAAACTTTATTCTTTTCTGTCACTGTAAATGCAGCTCCCCAAAACCTGAAAGCATCAGCCGGTGACAAACACAAAAGTAAATTCTAAAGCAAGACAGCAGGCTTCTTAACTTTTAAAGCCGAACTAACTCCGCAGTCGCAGCTACCTCCCGCCCCGCACCCGGGCGCAAGCGGTCTCCGGCACCGTCAGGCCGCCCCGGGCC